CGATGAATAGAGTAATGCAAACAATTGGATGAATGATTGGGAATTCGTCGGATCGGAAGCTGACCACTGATGTCAGGGCCAGCACTATATAAATGGCTATATATAGTGACCATCGGTTGAATTTTATTATCTTCGGGCGATTCTTCATAATCGATGCCTTCAATTGTATTATAGTGTCACTCAATGTATAGATTGTGTTGATTTGCAAATATTGCAGATATGACAGAATCGCAACTGAAATTATAATTTATAATTAACAAGTTAGAATTTATAATATTTTATATCAAAAATAAACATAAAATCATCGTGGTTACTTACACAGCAGCGCAATGACCAAGGTGATTTGGGCAAACACCGCCGACTCGATAGCAATAGTGGCCGTATCGCTGGTATAGGGCAGGAATGGATGAACATGTTCCTGATGTATGGCTATTAGGTATCTGCGACAAAACACATTAATGTCAAATATTAATTTAATAAATTTATGATAAAAATATATGGTAATAAATGACGCGATTCTTACGGCACTAAAACCATAAGAGGTATAAGAATAGCGATGGCTATCGGATAGATATAAAGACGGATAAAATTCATTGTGATTTTAAAATTTAAAATATAAAATTAGAAAAACTATTTTCTTTGCGATAAAAATACTTTCAATCTTTTACACGACTCAACAGTTTGTGTGAAAACTTATTGAATGAAATGAAATTACTTCATAAGTGCCTTATTATATGCTTTTAAATGTTATTCTTAAGCCGTGCCTTACAGTCAACTCCCGGTATAATCAAACTATTAATATCTAAGTATCTGTATTCTTAAATAATGAGTGAACAAAATAAAATATAAATTATTATCAATATATTTATTTATAACATTTTAAAACATAATAATTAATTGTAGATAGGTACAATATTGGAGATGAAATATTTAAAATTATCGTTCATTACTGTGTTTTATCGCCAAAAAGTATTATTCCATTCATTCATAGCATTCATATTTCATGACTTAATAGCATTTTGAGTGAACAAAAAACAGTCAATTTGTTTGCATGTATTTTAGGCGCACTCGAAGGCCAGGTATGATATAGTAATGTATAGTCTAATGAATTATTAATAGAAAGTGTTGTTAAATATATTGTATACTTCAAGCCGTGATTTGTTTAACGCAAACACAGATTTATATCAACAATATATAAATATTTTTGTTATTAACTATATTTCTAATTAATTAATGACTTGATTCGTAAGTATGTTTTAAGATATTATAAGATTTGTGTTATTTTTACATTCAAAATAAAAGATAGAAAACACATGTTTTTCTAAATATAAAATCAAGCATATTTATAAAGTATCTTGGTAATATATTTACTATTTTTATAATGCATGTATAAATTTAGTGCCGAATGTTATTATTTGAATAAAATATTTTACTCAGAATTGTTAGAAATTATGCCAAATATAGAAAACAAAAATAAAATACTATTTAAATGTGTTTTGAGTTTATCTGTAAAAACAAGTTTACGACTCATTATTACATCACTATTTGTGCCCAAAAATAACTGTTTAACGCTTTTCATTATTCCCGTTTCCGATCTCTCTCTCTCTCTCTCTCTCTCTCTCTCTCTCT